TAAGCCCCACTTACCAGAGGTGGTTACTCACTTGGTAACATACGTTTTATTTGCTGCATCCACTTTTTTACTCATCTCCAGTGTCTCCTGAAATTGCCACCCTAATAAACCTCTTGTACTCCAGTACTTTTCCGGAGTGTGCTTCTGGGGAGACTCAAACTAACACTGAGCCTGGCCCAAAGTAAATGCTGAATAAATAAAAAATGAATGTAAATGTGTGTTGAATGAATGAATATGTTTGCTTATATTTTTCTCCCTGAGGAGACTGTAAGCTCTTGGTGGGCAGAGACCACCTGGTTCATCTTTGTATTCCTGTTTCATAATGTGTCAGACTCACCCCAATAGTTCAATAAAGGTTGGATTTAATTAATGACCTCAAAATAGCAGTTGGTGGAAAGAGAAAATGCCACTTAATGGCTGTGGCTTTTAATGAGGTTGGAGGTGAGATTTCTTTGAGCATTGTAACAAAAAGCTTTAAAAAGGAAGGAGGAGTGGTGGTAGCAAGTTTTTGTTAAGAATGAAAATAACTTTCTGATGAAAAAATGCTGAGGGAGGGATAGAAAGGAACCAGAGAAAGCCAGGAAAGTGACTGAGATGAACCAGTCACATTTCAAATGACAAATCTTCCTTATAACACAATAACATAATGGGAATCACTGATGGATCACCCACTTAGTTTATATTGTTGATTCCTTTCTGACAACTTTTAGAGTTTCACTACCTGTCAGTGTTATGGGATCCTGCTAAAACAGAATGGTCTGGAAGCTGCCACTAGTGAGGTCCCGCACAGGGTCCTGCATGCTTCTGCTACCTCTATTGAATGTGAAGGCTTTTTTCTCAAATATCAGAAACCAGTTTCATTTTGAAGCTTGCTTTTGTGAAGCCAAAGATGTGTTGTGTATAAGGATAAATGAGCACTGTGTGTGTGCAGGTGGGAGGGTGGTGACCTGCTGGGCATCAATTCTGTGCAACACAAAGACTTTTACAGTCAGATCTATTGCAGGGATCCATATTACAAGCATCTTTAATTTAAATGATATAATATATGTGAAAGTTTTGAGCAAAATACTAAAACACAGCAGCCAATAAAAGAGTAGCCAAGTTCAGATTTGAATGACTGAACCTGTTTTTAATCCTTACTTCTACTTCCCTCTATTGGCATAAATGAGGAGGATGGTTGATAATTTTTAGAACTTTACTTTCCAGTAATGATTTTTTTTTTAGAGAAAGAAAAAGTTTATTAAGGAGAAAAGGAAAGGTCCAGTAATGATTTTCTTATTTCTAAAGCTATTTCTCTGTATTATTATGTACCTTTCTTTGCTGTTGTGCATGCAAACATGAAAATCTAGTTTTGTAGAGTTGATTTAACCCGACATATGGGTTAGAAAAAAAAAAAAAAAAGTTCAATTCTTTGGGGAAAGTATTCCCATTTTTCTATTGTATTTTTTAATGCAATAAAATATTTGCAAATATAGACAACAGGGCCTCCCCGGTGGCGCAGCGGTTGAGCGCTGGGTTGCGAAACTGCCCGCAGCCTCTGCAGCACCAGTTCAATCCCCGGCTGCTCCCCGGCCACCAGAGGAGGGTCCCACATGGCGCGCAGACCTCTCCTGCCTCCCGCTGCTCCCCTCAGCAGTGTACTTCGGTCCTTCTGCCTGCTCTGCTCCCCGCTCTGGCTCTGGTGAATTCTCTCACCCTCCCGTGCTTCTGACTGTACCCAGTGCTTGTATAAATAAATAAATAAATCTTTAAAAAAAAAAATATAGACAACAGAGTTCAAAAGGAAATCAAAACACAATTACCCATAAAGTGGATTTTTTTAAAAAGTAACAAAGGAAATACTCTTGTGGATTCAAATTTGATTTAGGTTGTCTATTGGTCACTGTACTAACTAGTTTGGGGTCTGATCCTCTTTACCCTTTTATTAACCTGTTTGGGACAGAATGATCATTTTAGTTTTTTAAAAAAGTAGTTCAGTGCTAATCAGTACATCTCAAGCCCAATGTAGGCATTTTGGAGACACTAACTAAGTATCCCAGAAGCAACTTAGCTCCTTCCCTATCACTCTGCTCCCCAGATCAAGGTGATGCTCTAGAGCACAGAGCCACTTAATCACATGAAATCTCTTGTGATTTGAGGGCAAGAGTTTCTCATGTTGAGGGTTTTCCTTCCATTCACTGGCAGCCAAGCAGAAGCCTTCCCTCCTGATGTCCCACATCACCTCTCCACTCCCTTGGCTTGGGGCCCATAGGTTGCAGTGGAAATGCAAGGATCCTGGGAATACAGATACGTTAAGCTCCATCCTGAATTAAGTTCATCGGCTTCTTTCTAATAGGATGTCAATAGGGAGAGGAAATTACTTAAATGAATAAAGGCCTCAGGATTCACTGACAGGTTTGCCAAGGGGCAGCCTTAAAGCTGAGCTGTTCTTGACCATGGCTGTGTGGCACTGCTTGCTCCCACTGAAGCCACATGAGTGGTACTCTCTAGTCTACTGCTTCTAAAAATGGTGATTTAGACCAGGTTTAGACTGCATAGAGAGTAGGGATGAGCAGAGACAAGTGAAGGTGCCTGTAGCAAGAATGCTGGGGCTGTGTAGATGGCAGAGAAGTCACGGGGAGGCTGTGTCTCTAAACCTTTCATGCCCCTCTCTGCGTGAAGCTGGATAACCAGCACAGCCAGAGATCACATCTGATTGCTTGGTAGAGCCTTTTTGGCTATACTTTAACCCATTCCATTCTTCATTTATTAAAGGCTTCAGTTGGAATGAGCCAGGCCCAAAGATTTGCCTTTGGAGAAGAGAGATGAAGTCCTGGTAAGACTTCGTAGGTATATGTGACTGCTTGTTGAGGCTGAGCTGTCTCTGTCCACTCGTGGTTGGTATTCTAGAAATGACTGAATTCTTTCCTTCCCATTTAGAACGTTTGTCTGTGGTTTCATGTTGGGATTTAAAAGCCAGCTGTTTCTGCTGCTTCTCATTTCTCTAGGTCACTTTTCTGTTGCAAAGCCATTTTTCTCATCAAGTGGTACAAATCGCCATAAATTGTCCTATTCTGCTTAGTAGAATGTCTGTGCAGTAATAATGTCAGTGCCTTATGTATGCATAGCATTTTATAGTTTTCAAAGCACTTTTGCCTATATTATCTCATTATGTAATGTCGTGGGCTGTTGCTTTTTCCCTGAGTGTTCTGTATTTATTCACCATTTTCACCAACTTGAATTTTTTTTCTTTCTTTTCCTACCAATTTTGAGGATGTTATACAAGGTTTACTCACCCCCACCCCCACCTGCCACATACTTCATAGTTCCCCTGAGGACTGTAAATGGAAAAGGAAAAAGCATATACAAATGATACTGTTTTCTGATGGCAAAGTGAAGATAACCTGAATTCTCTTTATAAATCATCCCCAAGAGTGATGGTCTAGTTCCGACTATCAGCAGAAGTACTAAAAACGATTTATCTTAATGATTACATCTACCTACTTTTTCAAATTGGTGAAATGTCTTCCAGAATTGGAGGGTGGGGACGCAAAGCAAGTTAGATTCATTTGGTAGTTTTGTATTTGGGGTATTTTCTTCATTTTGCTTAGCATTATTTATTCCATTTTTTTTTATTATGGTAACATTGTTGTATATTGTTTGTGTTAGTGATATTGTTCATCCCCTGATGGAGAAATTGTAACTTCATTAGCACCTTCTGTTTTCTTGGAATTAAATGGCTGTTTAGTATATAGTTTGTGAAATAGAAGGTGCTTTAGGTTAAAGCCTCTAAGGTGATTCTGAAACTGTGTTTTAAAAAAGTTTCTTTAGAGCTTTTCAGAAACTCTTTTAAGGTAGACCAGAAAATTCCCTGAACTAACCTCTCATTACCTTACCCATCTTATTTCTTGTTTCCATCATTCCATCCCCATATGTGAGGTGTACTGCAGGTGCCCAAGTAGCTGCATAAAGAAAACCAGAGGAAATTAGGATTGAAAGGACCAAGCTGGTTGTTATAAGCTTATTTGACACTTGCCTTCCTTCTGTAACATTCTCCAGTAGCCAATGAGCCTCAGCCCTCTCCATCCTAAGGCAGTGGAATCATATCCCTTCTGTTGGGCATAAATAAATTTTCGGATTGCTTCTGTACAATTTAACAAACATCAAGTACCTATTATGTAGCAGACACTGTTTTAGTGCTGGGGATACAGCATTGAACAGAAAGACAAATTGTGCTTTTATGGATAGCCTTTGGGGTCAGAGCAGACAAGCCAAATAATTCTGCATGGAAGCCCTGTAGATACTTGAAGACAGTATTCCTGTTCCTCCTAGTCTTCACTCAGCTTCACAGGCTAATCCCCCTGGAAACATCCTAACGTTGTTTAATATTGAATTGATTTGTTTAAAGTGTTTTGTTGTTACTTAAAAAGGCAGTAAGATGAAAAATCACCCAGAATCCCATTACTCACTGTTAAGATGTTGGTATATTTCTTTCTAGCCTTTTCTAACTTGTATTTATAATGTTGTATCTTGTTTCTTTCCACTTACATCGACATTTTGCATTCATTATATTGGTAAGAATCATTTGAATAGTTATATAATATTCTAGTCCCATAAACTTTTTAAGGTTAAGTCATAAAAGAGTAGGAGAGACCCCTTAAGTGTGCTACACTATTTCCTTTTTCCCAGGTCTCAGCCTCCTAAGCGGCCACATTTTGATGATGTTACGTGGGAGGGAGATGCTGGGCTGCACTATCTCCTGAAGAGTCATCATTCTTGATATGCTGCCTCCTTTTTTTCCCCCTTCTGTTCATTCTCTGGTGTCTCCTCATTATCATGCTGTGCTCATTGCTTGGAGTACAAAGTTGACTGTAGTTTCCTCATTATGACAGGATATCCAAGCACCATCTTCAAGACTGTCTTCCTGCTAGATTCAGTCTTGATGAGTCTGTTGGAGCCCATCCTTCTGGTTGGAGCAGACTGTGGAGAGCCCAGAGCTCACTTCTGTCCTTTGATTGCAGGCCTTCAGCTCAACCAGAAGGCGCTCACCACCTTCCCGGATGTGGTGCTCGTGCGGGTGCCCACGCCCTCCGTGCAGTCGGACAGCGACATCACAGTCCTGAGGCACCTGGAGAAGCTGGGCTGCCGCCTGGTCAACCGCCCACAGAGCATTTTAAACTGCATCAACAAATTCTGGACATTCCAAGAGCTGGCTGGACACGGAGTCCCCATGCCAGACACCTTCTCCTATGGTAAGTCTTCCTGAAAGGGAGTAGGAACTTCCCTTTCTAGTCACCCTCATTCCTGTGTTTTCGCTCCATAAAAGCCCTGCAGTGTCTCCTGACTTTTTTTTCTTTTACACATTTTTATGGAGGTAACATTGGTGTGCCCTTAACACTTCTCAGTCCATCAGAGGTAGAAGACAGATGTAAACAGGCAATTTCAGTGCAGTGTGGTCAATGCTATGATAAGACTTAGTGCAAGGGTGTGCGGGGATACACAGGAGGGCTCCTAATGCAGTTTAAAAGATAATGAGGACGACTTCCTGAAAGAGATACTATCTCAATGAAGCTGAAGGTATCCAACCAAAGCAAGGGGGTCTGGGAAGCAGTGTAAGCAGTGAGTAGAATGTAGAAAGACCTAGAAGCAAGAGAGAACTTGTCCACTTGGTGGTGTTGCAAGTAATTTATAGATCATAAGGGAGAGAGAGTAAAGATATAAGGCTAGGGAGATGAGAAAGACCCAGAAGACAACATATGAAGGAGATGAAGGTCAACTCTGAGACTAATAGGAAGTTATTGGAGGGATTTAAGCAAGGGGTGGCCTGATCAGAGTTCATAATATCTCTTTGGCTACATAATGGAGAAGGATTTGGATAGGGGCAAAGTAGAGACAAGATACCTAATGGTAGGCTTTTTAAATAATTCAAGTGAGCAATGATGGTCTAGACGAAAGTGGCCATAGTAAGAATGAATATAAGTGAACAGATTCAGGAATTATAAAGAAGGTAGAAATAACTGGACCTGGTAGTTGATTGGATATGAGGAGTATGGAGGGGCATCAAGAATGACTCTGGTTGGGCCTCCCTGGTGGCGCAAGGGGTTAAGACGCAACCTATGAAGCAATCCACAGCCACTGCAGCACAAGTTCGATCCCTGGCCAGGGAGCTACCCACATGGTGCAGCAGACCTTTCCTGACTCGCCTGCTGCTCCCCTCAGCAGTGTATTTCAGTCAATCTGCTTGTTCTGTTTCCCACTCTCCGGTGAATCCTCTCACACACACCCCCCCCGCCCCCATGCCTCTGGCCTCTACCCCAGTTCTTGTATGCATAAATAAATAAAATCTTTAAAAAAAAAAAAAAAGAATGACTCTGGTTTCTGGTTTGTGCAACCAGATGTGAAAGAAACAGAAACACAGACAAGAAAAATAGTCAGGTTGGGTGAGGGCTTGTGGGGCAGAGAATGATTTCAGTTTGGGACATGTTTGGTTTGAAGTATCTATAGAATATGCAAGTAAAAATATTCAATAGAAAGTGAATAAATGGAACTGGAGTCCCCGAAAGAAAGTGCAGAGTAAGGGAGTGGGTTTAGAAACCTTCGTTACATTAAGTGATGTCACAAGAATGGTTGAGATTACTCAGGGAGAACAAAGAGAGGGCTGGGCTGTAGACCCAAAATGGTTAAAATGGTTAACTTTTATGTTATGCATACTTGCTTCAATAAAAAATAAAATAAAAGTGAGTTTAAGAGGGATGCCTTTAGGGAATAGGTAAAGCACTATTGTGAACAAGACAGGTCTTACTAAGATTCCACGGAATATTTTGCTTTGCAGAAATTGAGCTACAATACTGCCTGTGTTTGGCAGAATATTGACTCCCCAAAATGCAAATATGTAGTCAAGAAAGTTTGTAAAACACTCTAAAAACAATTTTAATATACATTATTACTCACATTTTAAATTAAGGCTGAAGGAAGTATAGTGTGGCCAATTCAGGCTTTCAAGTCAGACCTTAACTTTGGGTGAGACAAATCACCAGGCTTGGTTTCCTTCAGAATTGGGGTGCCTGTTGTTGCATAACAAACTACTAAAAACATAGTGGCTTAAAATAACACCCAAGTATTATCTCACAGATAGTGAACTCTAGAGCATATGGAGCCCTTACCACATGGAGGTATTTGATAAATGTTGGTTTCCTTATCAGAATCACTTTTGTGTTAGAGATGCACAATGCATGTCTGTCAGGTTAAATGGGTTCGAATTACGTTCATCAGAGACACATGAGGCCTGGAGTTCTGCCCACAGAGGGGTCACTACAGGTCACTCCCAACCATCGGCCTTACATTCACTGACTTTCACCTTTTCTTGGCAGGTGGGCATGAAGACTTTTCAAAAATGATTGATGAAGCCGAGCCCCTGGGCTACCCAGTGGTGGTGAAGAGCACCCGAGGACACCGGGGTCAGTGCTGCTCTTCCTGGCTTCCATTAGGGCTGCGGCTCTGCCGGGTCTCTAACCTGGTCAGGCACAACAGGAGCACCACTTGGAGAAATACAGCTCCCCTTTCAGTTGCCTGCCATGTGTTCCCTGCCACCTTCTCTCCTCTCTCTCTGCTTTTGTCAGACCCTTCACATCTCTTCCCTGGACTGTGGCAGCAGGCCCTGACTTGGTTCTGACACCATTCCCTAACACCACTGCCAGTACACCCTCTGTTCTTTTCTGGGGAATAATTTCTCTGAAACACACATCTATTCTGTCATTCTCTTGCTGAAAAACATTGCCCAGAACTCATGTGGCCTATTATACAAAGTCCAAATTCCTCATTATGGCACAGAAGGCACTGCATGAATAGCCTCAACACCTCTGCAGCCTACTCTGGCCATGGGCACCGTCCCTCATCCATTGTGGACAACTTCTCCTTTACCAACCAAGCCAAGTATTTGCCTCTCTTCAAGCCTCTGCTCCCTTCCCTTTTCTGGGAACACCATCTTGCTCTGCTCTCCAGTGAATTTTTCCCTGCCTGTCCTTTAAGGCCAGTTCCAGATGTCATTTCCCCTCCTCTCTTCCAGTCAACACTATAGCCCTTTGTCCATGCCTCTGGCATCATGCTGCATTTTAAAAAAGTCTCAGGTTTATATGTCTTTCCCCCTAATGGTGATCTTCTCAGGGAGGGAAGCAGGTCCTGCCCATCTGACTCTGTGAGAACTGCATTTTGAGTTAAATTTTTATATGTGGTATGACATAGGAGTCAAACTTCAGTCTTGTGCATGTGGATACTCAGTTTTTCCAGTAGCACTTGAAGAGACTGTTCTTTCCCATTGAAATCTCTGGGCACTCTTGTCAAAAATCAGTTAACCATATGAGTGAGGATTTATTTCTGGGCTCTCAATTTTGTTGCATTGATCTATATGTCTGTCTGTATGCCAGGCCATATTGGCTTTGATTACTATAACTTTGTGGTAATTTTTTAAAATTGGGAAGTGTGAGTCTTCCAGCTTTGTCCTTCTTTTTCATGATTGTGTTAGTCATGTGGAGATCTTTGCATTTCCTTATGAATGTTAGGAACAGCCTTTCAATTTCTGCAAAAAAGGAAATTGGACATTTGGATGAGATTCCATTGAATTGATAGTATTGCATTGTATTGAATTGATAGTAATCAATTTGAGTAGTATTGCCATCTGTATAATATTAATTCTTCCAGTTCCCTGAACATGGGCTGTCTTTCTGTTTATTTAGATGTTTAATTTCTTTCAGAAATGTTTTGGAGTTTTCAGTGTCTCAGCCTTGTACTTCTTTGTTTAAATTTATTCCTTTTTATGCTATTATAAATGGAATTATGTTCTTTATTTCATTTTCAGATTGTTCATGGCTAAGTAACATGGTATGGGAAAATAAGGAGGATAAGGAGTAAACAGAATTGTAGCAGTTAAGTTGACTCAAGCACATGAAGATAAATCTAAAGTTAGTGGCATGGCATAGGCTGTGCCTTTGGGAAAGTTATTCATCTTGTCAACCCTTATTTATCCATCTTATCTATAAGACAGAAATAACTATCTTTAGTAATGGCTTCACAGCACTAGTATGAAGTGTAAATGAAATTAAAAAGGGGTTGGGGGTCTGGCAACTAATCCTCGTGCCTTTATTCTACCACCCTTTTCACCCCTTTGCCTTTAAACTGTAGCTTCTTTAGTAACTGCAGACTAGAATTTCTATGCCAGCAACCAAATCCCTATTTCTTGCTCTCACCTCTCTGAAAATCCTCCCTAATATTCAGAGAACTCCCATTACCTATAGCTAACTCTCAGCCAGCTTTTGCTAGATGCAAGATTTCCTGGTGCCAAATAGCCAATGACTGAGACATGTTTTGGAGATTACTTTTCAGCCCCAGAAGGGCTGGTCCCCACCACTCTTTGCATTAAGATTTCAAAGGGGTCTCACTCCTTTTAGGTCGTGACATAAACCTAGGAAAGCCATCTCTTTGTTCCTTATTTGCTAAAAAGAATGCTCAGATTGGGTGTGTCCATGGCATTTTTAGAACAATCCGTGCTCTGATCTGTTAGCTGTTCTGCAAATACACAAGCAGGTGTTAAATAATTACAGAGGAATAGATGATTTAAGCAGGAAATAATTTGGAGTCAAGAAGGAATGCGTTCCCCAGAGATCAATAGAAGTGTAAATCATTCCTTTTGGAATTAATCATTACAGCTAAACAGTACAGTTCCTCTTTGTTTAGAGGAGGAAGAATGTGCGTCAGTGGCTTGCCCTTTGAATGCCCGTAGTATTTTGTATAGACCTCTCTGTATCATATCACACTGTGGTGTGGTTACCTGTTTTTGGCCTCTTGCCATCTAGACTGGAGATTCCTCTAAAATATGTTCAATTAATTGTCCTGTAAATATTGATTGACACGTGCTTTGTCTATCAAGCCCAGCCTGAGGTTTGGGGTATTAGAAAACGTGACTGGGACATGGTCCTCAGGGGACAGGAGATGTTGACTGTTTTTGGAGCTAACCTGACTACATTCTTAGGGTTTTATTTTTACCCCCTTCTCAGTTTCTTCAGTATAGTATTATGTAATTTTGAAAAAAGAGTGGTAACGGAGGGAGAAGGTTGATGATATTAAGACCTAAGTAAAACCAAGAGAAAATAAGATTCAGTGGCCATTTGAAAGAAGCATGAATCTAAAAGGAATAGAAGGGTCAGTGTGAGGCAAGTTCAGGCAGAGCTGAGAACCGTCCTGGACAGGGAACTAGGAGGGCAAGGTCAGGGTTCAGTGGCCTCTGTAACTACTGTTCTCGTTCTTTGTCTTCTTAAAGGAAAAGCTGTTTTTCTTGCAAGAGATAAACATCACCTCTCAGACATCTGCCATCTGATCCGCCACGATGTGCCCTATCTGTTCCAGAAGTATGTGAAGGAATCCCACGGGAAGGACATCCGGGTGGTGGTGGTAGGGGGCCAGGTGATTGGCTCCATGCTCCGCTGTTCCACCGACGGGCGGATGCAGAGCAACTGCTCTCTGGGTAAGGTGGAAAAGCTCCGCGTGGGCTTGTTGGTCACGGGCGGCCACCAGGGCTTTCCATTTGCATGTTTAGACCGGTTCAGTAAATACACATGACTCCCTCCTGTGTTCTCAGGTCCTCCACTGGGCACCAGGGCCATGAATAAGAATTAGAATCAAACCCTTTCTGGGTAGAGGAAGTCATGAGATCAGAGCCTGTTACAATAGCTGAGGCATGAAATAATGAGGGGGAAGTTAAGGCAGTGGCAGAAGGCACAGCATATTCTGCTTTTACATTATGATTAAAAATTGCATTTTTTCTTGTATGTGTTTATGAGGAAGCTGCAGTTTATGTTTGGGTCAAATATGTAACCCCATTGCTTAAATGTGTGGATAAAGCCTGTTTTACGTTGTAAATGGAGATGTTCCAAAATGGATATAAATCTTCCTGTCCCCATCACAGAAAGCTGCTATTATCATCATTAAATGAATTTGTATTAAAAAAAAAAAAAACACCTTCAAGGGCCTCCCTAGTGACCTAAGGGTTAAGTCTCAGCAATATCACTGCCCAGGCCTGAGTTCTATCCCCTGCCAGGGAGCTAATCCACATGGTGCAGCAGACCTCTCTTGTCTCCACAGCTGCTCCCCTCAGCAGTGTGTTTCAGTGAATCCACCTGTTCTGCTCCCCACTTTGTCTCTGGTGAATCCTCTCACATACACACACACACACACACACACACACACAAACACACCCCTCTGGCCTACACCCCAGTTCTTCTATGCAAAAATAAATAAATATTTAAAAAAAAACACCTATAGTTATTTACATAATTGTCAGATGAATGTACCAACTCTAGTGACTAATAAAGAGGCTGAGAGAGTGATTTTTTTTTTAAGATTTATTTATTTATTTATGCAAGCACTGGGTACAGTCAGAAGCGCGGGAGGGTGAGAGAACTCACCAGAGCCAGAGGCAGGGTGGGGGAAGAACAGGTAGACTGATGAAACACACTGCTGAGGGGAGCAGCAGGCGCGGCAGGAGAGGTCTGTTGCGCCATGTGGGACCCTTACCGGGTGGCTCAAACAGGCACTGCAGAGGCTGGGGGCAGCCTCGCAGTCCAGCGCTCAACCGCTGCGCCACCAGGGGAGGCCCGAGAGAGTGATTTCATTCTTTCATTGATACTGGTTGAGCAGTTTTTATAAACAGATTCTATGATTGATATTGGGAGTGCAGCAACTAATAAGAGAGTCCTTGCCTTCTGCTAGCTTGTAGTCCAGTGGTGGAGAAGATGCACACGGGCAGATCACCTTAAGGTCCTGTGATTCAGTGATGTAGAGAGGCTAATAGGTACAAGCTGACCCAGCACTAATACTTCACATGTCATCTCATTTCAGAATGATCACTTGTGGCGCAGTTTTGGACCTGATGCATTATCATTGTGTCCATTTTAATCACGTAACAGAAACCCTTCTTTAACTAGGAACCACACATTATTGTGATCTGGCCTTGTTGCTTTTATTGGTGAGCTGTTAAAAACATTTTTATAGCCTTTTCCTTATATAATGCAATAGGGAAGAGAAAGAACAGTGGTAAAATAAGGATATTAATTAAAATAAAGATATTAATTACTGGTCCTGGGAATGCAACTCTTAAGTCCTACATCCTTCCAGGGAGATGAAAAGAGATGATTAAATCTGAGGTCTTAACCCTTTTTTTTTTAAAGATTTATTTTTATTTATTTATGCATACAAGAACTGGGGTGTAGGCCAGAGGTGGGGGGCAGGGAATGAAAGGATTCACCAGAGACAGAATGGGAAGCAGAACAGGTGGATCTACTGAAATACACTGCTGAGGGGAGCAGTGGGTGAGACAGGAGAGGTCTGCCTCACCATGTGGGTAGCTCCCTGGCCAACTGGGGATCGAACTCGTGCCACAAAGGCTGTGGACTGCTTCACAGTGTGGTGCTTAAACCCCTGCGCCACCAGGGAGGCCCTATAAATATTTTTAAAACTCTAAATAAAGAAATGACCATACTGTTTCCCCAGTGTCCTGACTTCCATCTAGACTTTTTGGGAGTCATGCAAGTGCCCCTCCTCAACACCCGCATCTCCTCCCTGAAGGATCACTGACTCCTTAGTAAGTGTCTGACGTCAACTGTGCTTTCCCCATAGGCGGTGTGGGTGTCATGTGCCCCCTGACAGAACAAGGCAAGCAGCTGGCTGTTCAGGTGTCCAACATCCTGGGCATGGACTTTTGTGGCATCGATCTCCTCATCATGGATGATGGCTCCTTTGTGGTGTGTGAGGCAAATGCCAATGTCGGTTTCCTGGCCTTCGACCAGGCATGCAACTTAGATGTGGGTGGGATCATTGCAGACTACACCATGTCCTTGTTGCCAAGTCGGCAGACTGGGAAGATGGCCCTCCTCCCAGGATTGTCTAGTCCCAGGGAGAAGAAAGAGCCAGACGGCTGCGCTTCAGCTCAGGGAGTCGCTGAGAGTGTCTATACCATCAACAATGGGTCTACCTCTAGTGAGAGTGAGCTTGAACTGGGAGAGATCCGGGATTCCTCGGCAGGCACCAGGGGCGCCCCAACCCCCATGTTGCCAGAACCCGGCTACAACATTAACAATAGGATAGCTTCAGAATTAAAACTTAAGTGAATTCCTGCTTTCTGGCAGCATTTAAACCAAATCCTACTGCTTCCCTAGTAGTTTTGAATGAATAAAATCTGGACTAATGTGATCTCATTTGCACAGAAACTAGAAATCCCATCTGGGCACTCCACAGTCTTTCTAACGATGATTTAAGCAAATGGCTTCGCTTTGTGAATTTTACAAAGACTATGATAAAAACACTCACCAAGAACATCCCGACTGATCCATTTGAGACAAGCGTCTGCTGCAAGCACTCGGCTACCATGGTTGACTTTCAGGCTTTGACTCTATGCTGTTGCTTCTCGCTTTGCTCTGCAGAGCCCATTAACTCAGAAGGCTCCTGGAAATCCGATACTCGAAGGCAACCACCAGACACAGGCGTGTGCAGAAGAGGTGGAACCTGACGGCATTTATGTGCACTTCATTAAATGGGTGTGTGTGATGCTTAGAGAACACACTCAAACACTACTAGAGGACTCCTCTCTGCTCCTCATCAGTCACTGTATTGACCATATTTCTCTGACACTCAGGATACGGTGTTTAGGGAGCATCCTCATTAGCATTGTCAACGAAGCACTTTGTAGAAAGTGAGATTGAACATCCTTTGACTTACTGTTTGGCAAACATCTGCTCTGTGACTGGGGCTTTCTACAAATTGCTTTGCCACTTCAAATGTATAGACCCTGCCTCACCAATGCCAGCCCCAGGAGCCTCTTGTACCTTTGCTGCCTTTGGCCTCAGCTGGAAACGCACTTCAGTGAGCTAGTGGCCACATACTTTCTTAAGCGTACAGTAGGACACCATGAATTTTCTTTGCCATGGACTCTGTTTACTCGTCATCCAGAATCTAGTGGGTATTTATCATAGAAAGCTACTGGAAAAGAATCTCTTCTCACCTCCTTTACTGAAACTTGTGTACTGTTTAGGAGGTTTTCTTGTACAAGTTGGTGTCATGGGCCTGTTGGGTAGATAGAGCCATTGGAAACACTCCAGTCCTCTTGATATTCTGGTCTTATCCAGGTTCCAGAGACCTGTCCTTTCCCCACTTTTCCAAACTGGGGAGACTCGGGTATCAGGAATTACTCATTGCACTTTGGGAGGGGGATACTGTAGACATGACTTCAAGTGCTTTTCATTTTAACTCTTTGAGTAGTAGATGATGAGCCTTTCCCTGGGAGAAATCGTGGAGATGGAGTGTGCCATTTCTGCTTATATGAATTAGGACTGAAAAGTGAGCAAGACTCCTTTTTAACCAAATACACTAAAACATATGCACTCAAGAGCTACCACAACCAGAGTTACTTCCTTGGGAGGATGTACTCTGGAGCTGTGATTTTGCATATGCTAAGAACACTTAGAATTCCTCTTTGGAGTTATCTTCAAAGCCATGCAAGGAAAGAGGGCTCAAACCTCATATTCAGATCTTGTTACTTATAGCACCTCTCTGCAGAGGTGGTCCCAAGCTCCATCACCCATTGTACTTATCAGACTTATTTTCTAGTGCTGTTGGACTGTTAAAAAAAAGTCATTCCTCAAAAAAATAAACCTAACCATGAAGGACAAAGACTTAACCAACGCTAAGGAAGCTCACAAGTGAGTTTCCAGGGAGGGTAGAGAAATATTCTTAGTGAGGTCGACTTCACTAAACTAAACATACATCTTCTCGAGGGAACTACTTTGAGGGCAGCAATACCCATGATGGGTATGTAAATTCCTGTACTTATTCTGCCATAAGTATAAAATGTATGTAAAGGCAAATGATTACATTTTTTATCACACATTTAAATAGAAATTGGCTTTTAAAATATTGTGGCTAAAATCAGATCTCAACCAAGTAACAGTTGTACAATTGGAAAATATCCATCACTATGTAATGCAGATGTCACACTGCACAGTTGTAGTATAAATGCAATCCATCATAGGGTGCATGCTACTAAGCTGTAGCTCTGGTCATGTGTCTTGTACTATTGAAAATGATTCTACTCTACCTTTATATAGGGTAAGACAAGTACCTTATTTTTACCACTCAGGAGGGATTTAGAAGGAGGATAGTTCTAGGTCTGTTCTCTCTGAGATTGGCCAAATGCTTTATATGTAAACATCCAAACCAAGCAATGACATCTGGAAGCTGCATTCACTCCCACTGTTTAGTGGAAGCCCACTTGCCCCCACTTTATCTAAAAGCATGTTGGTGGGTCCCATCCTGAGTAGAGCAGCTAAAAGGGTGGTGCTTCCAGATCCATCAAGGGGGATCCAATTTCCAGCTGCTTCTGACATCTGTAGTCATTGGCATCATTGCTTGGAATCTAGCCCGTCTAGTAGCAGAGAAAGCTGGGTCACAGCTGGAGCATAGGCCCCCTCCAGGATTTCCCATACTGGCTGTGAGCCCAATGAGTCCCAACCAGGTGGCTGGACCACACTTGTCACAGCTGCCCCCAAAGCCTGCTTGGAGGAGCACGGGGCACAGAGCCAGATACCAGTTCTGGCTTGTCCCCAATAATAGCTAATGGACCTTATGCTATTAATCAAGTGGACTCTGCCTCATTTCTTCATCCTTCAGAGATGGTGCCTATTCTAGAGGTAATTCTTGGGGGTGATTTGAGGCTGGAGTGAGTTAATGGGAGTACAATATGTGGGAAGGGTTTTATAACAGATTCTTATCACCCCCCCTCCCCAACCCAGGGAGTTAAGAGATAGGCCGTGAAGTCTTGGCCTATCATTATCACACTAAACAGTGGTAGGAACCCTGAAAAGGGATGCAGCTTCTCAGGGGCCTTACGACCAAAAAGGAGTAAGGCTCTTAGTGTGTTAAGACAGTCTTCTGGATGTATCATATATAACCTGAATCTCTTGAACCCCTATACCAATGAACAGTCTTCCTATGTAACATGAATTGTAGTGTTTGTGTATGGTCTTCCCTTTCTCTGGCCAAAACTTGAATGCCAGTAGCTCAGTCACTCAGAATATATACAGCTCTGCACTTGGGAAAAATGTCTTCATGCTCTCTGTCTGATCGCTGAGGGGCTTGTGCTTACCAGAATGTGGATTTTGGGCTTTAGGCTTTTAAGATCTGATAAACAATGTAAGTGGATCATAAGCTGTAAGTGTCACAATTGCAGGCTCTCTGTGCCCAGCTAAGAAGGAATTCTGTGACAGGGAGGGAGAGGGTGAGGAGGAAAGAGAAAGGTCTGAGATAATTTTGTGACTGAGACAGTTTCAGTAGGAGAAATAAGAAATTGGGAATTCTAGTGGGAAGGAGAAGGAAATGACTCTTCTGTGGGTTTTAATGAAAGAATCATGAATATGTATTATTTAGGGGTAGGGGGTCTTTGAAACCGTTCTCTGTGAAGATAATGAGGTGCATGCACGTATTTCCATCCACCTCCTCCGAAGCGGGAGAGACATGCCTCCTCCTCTCTTTGAGTCCTGATGAGAACACTCTGAATGTAAATCAGGAAGATTGAAGCTGCTGACGAGGTGTTCCAGGATCACCCTAGTAACAGCTGACCCTCGCAGAAATTAATGGACCACACCACCATGTGCAGGCAAGCCTCAAGCCACAGCCCTGTGAGGTGGGTTTAAGGAGCCATGTTGGAGAGTGAATACAAAGGCAGTAAAACAGGGCATTTCAACTGGAAACTGCACCTGGAGGTGAGGCTTCAATTTGCTAACAGGCAATGCAAACTTTATGGGAAGAACCTGAGGGCAGTCAACATTGTCACTGTCCCTGAAGGCAGGGCCCTTGGATCTGGCACTGGAGCCTATTGTGAGTCTGGTGCTATTTTTGATTGCCTCTGAGACTCAAGATCACATCGTGGCTTTGAAATGTTTTTACCTGGAAGACTACCCATCTTGGGGATAGACTGTTTTCATCTTTCCTTAAAACTGTATTATGCTCTCATTCCAAGTTTATGGCTACACTGCAGCTCTCCCTAAAATTCACCTAGCTGGGTATGAAAACTTTGCTCCTTCAAGCCTTTCCATTTTCTTCTCCAGGTGTGGTGCCTGTGCCAACATATGGCATTGCCCTGGCCCTGGGCTGGCACCACCCTACTCTGTTTGGGAGTCTCACTCTGCCATATAATGTTCACAGGGGCTCTGAGGCAACATTCAGAAAGTCATCTATGGAGCCAGACTTGAGGTTGTAGGAAAAGAAGCACCTTGGAGACCAGTTCAGGCCCCAATTTTGTACCTGGGGGATCTGAATCCCAGAGGCTGCAGTCGCTGAGCTAGTGAGCAGCAAGGTTGGGACAAAGGCAATCTGATTGCCCATCCAGTGAGCACACTGGACTCTCCCATGCTGTCCACAATGAGTACCCTCCTGGACCCACCCTCTGGCCATTCCTCTTCTTTTCTGTTCTGAACCTCTGTTCTGGATCGACTTGGCTTCAGGTGAGAAGCCCAAGCCATTATGAGATTTCCAATGTGCAAGCCAGCTCATGACCTATGCCTCTTTTTGACCAGCCAAGACCATTTAGCCTCACCTTCCACACCATCAGTGATGGGATATGAGGGAGAAGGTCCCTGCCAGACTGAAGCCTTCCTTGCCCCACCCCATTCAGCAGATGTAACCCCATTGTCGAATGTTTTGGGTTTCCAAGGACATCAGTGGGTCTCTGTGAAGGCTGAGGACTTAAAGATACCAAACTCGCTCTGTCAAGAAAATCTGAGGGGTTCCCGATTGGTATGCGTGTAGCAGTTATAGTCTTCCACAAAGCCAAAAGCTGCCCAGGGAAGCCCTCTTAGCAACCAGCCATTAGGTTCCTCTTCCCTGTTGTAGCCCTTGTCAGCTGAGATTCTCTGCCCTTTGAGATCCAGAACAGTCTAGTAAGTCTGGGCTGTAGTTCTGAGCCTTTGGACTTCTGATTTCTAAGGGAATTACAGCTTTGCAGTTACTGCTGACTCTGGACTTCTGCTACCTCATTTTAAGCAACAGTGGTGTCTCCTTCCTGCTCTGCATCAGCTGAGACATGAAGCTCAGTTTCTTCCCTATTTCCACACATACCAAAGTTCAAATGAGTCAGTGAGTCTACTTGTGTTTCAATGATGTGGGAGGAAACAAGACATTGTAGCAATGCAGACAAGTCATCCCCATTCATAAAATGTCCTGATGCACTGCAAAGAAATCCACCCACCTTCCACCCCACATGGCGCCTAGCTCCCTTCTTAGGACAGCCAGACCCATTTCTGTTTTCATATATAGTAGCATATTC